TATCGGTTTTACTCACCCTAAACGCCGGATCCGTCTGGATGAAACGCCTATACGATACAAAATGTATGCGTATACAACTAAACGCGTCTCCGTGTGGACGGGGCCTTAGGCTTTGCTAGTTGTCATATCTTTGTTTAAATCAGGTGTGAACAAGTACTCTCGAATAACAAAAACGTTCAAGAATATCAAAAATCACCTCCTTTCCCTGCATACGATTCATTTTAGACATTCAGGGATGCACGTGCTTTCTGCAAGTAACTCCATGTGAAACTGTCACATGGGTAATATGCAGCACACTCAAATTCAGCACCCGATTCAGTAGTATCTGCAGTATCTCACTCCGCCTCTAACTAGGATTGAAAATGCTGTTGTCAGCTGCGGAGGCTTTGATATGGAGCGACTTCAATGGAGAAGACTGTGCAAAGTTCAGGCGTAACAGGAAGGACTGATTTGTCTTTTCCACAGTACTGTACACAATTGAGGGCAACTTCTGTTTGTGGGACAATAAACCAAACTATTTTATATTTCCCATTCATTCATTCCTATTCATTAGGTTTAGGTTTCATTTAGGTTTCCTATTCATTCATAAGTTTTTTATGTTTAGGCTATGTTTTAAAAAAGGTTGCTTGTTCACACCACTGTGCCAGCGAATTTTAGGTATGTTTTTAAAAAGATCTGTGTTTCAAAAGGTGACATTAAAACACAACCAATCATTTAAGCAGTGTTTCATGTAATGGGTCCATGATATATTTGTACCATATTGTTTAAATTACAGTTTTCTTTTTTATTTATCTGTATCAGTTGATATTGTAGGGTCCTATGAAATCCATTGTATTTTTTTATTATTGTTTTTTGGTTTTTCCATTTTAATTTTCCTAGACACTGTTTTCATGGTTACATTTTATTCATCATAAAGCATGTCTAATTAATTGAAATCATTAAACTTACAATATTAAACAGCAGTGCATTAAAAAATGTAACAAAAAGTACATTTTTAAGGCCCTATGAATGAAATATTTTTTGTCTTATTGTCTTAATATCTTTTTTTTTTCTCTAATTCAAGTTTGAGAATGCTGTGAAGACCTTTAAGTTTCTGTTTTTATATGATATGACGATAGTTTTACTCAAAAGAAATGGTAAAATGCTCATGAAGCGACTCTCAGAGCAGTTGTAGAGATTATATTCATATGTTCATGTAACTTACTCATATATTGAGGCGGCAGAGGCTGAAAACACCGCGAGCGTCATGCGTGCTTCAGTGTGTGTGTAGTAAATTAAACCGTGCGTCTGCGCCATTCATTTACACAGAGAAACGCAGAACATGCAGGATTCTTATTTAAATAGTATTTTGCGGCTTAATAATCACACATATTAGTCCATATCACATTTTTATTTAAGTGCACTGACCTACTTTTGATGTATCCATCTAAATTTGGCAAATTCCATGACACTCCACGTTATACTGTAAATTCCGTTTTTATTACTGGATTCCACGATTCCGTCTGCGTTTTCTGGATCGCCGAAATCATAGGGCCCTAATATTGTACATGTAGCCTAATTACACATTCTTACTTTGCTTTTTTACATTTAGATCATCTAACACTCAAAGTTAATCTTTAAAAACACTAATAATTTAATCACACTGTTAAATATAATCTTTAGCAAATCTTAAAATGAACATCTATTTTTCATATTGTATTATGATGTTGTAATGGCTAAATTCATGTACATTTGCGGTTTTAATATCCATAATTAACTGATCATCAGCCATAACACTGAAGTCAATTTGGTGTCGTCCAGCATTTTAAAATTGATGCAGTGCTATAGGTAAGTGACAACTGAACATTTTGTCATCAGTTATTCACCCTCATGTTGTTTTAAACCTGTATGACTTTACTCTGTGGAGCACAAAAGAAGATATTTTGAAGAAAGTTGGAAAACAAACCATTTTGGTGACCGTTGACAAAAAAACACTAACATTCTTCAGAATATGTTCTTTTATGTTGCACGGAGGAAAGTAAGTCATACAGGTTTGGAACGACACCAGGAAGACAAAATTGTCCTTTTTGGCTCAAATATCCCTTATATTGTGGGATACTGATGGGAGACTTTATAACAGTGTTTGACTGGTTGCTGCTTAATTTGAGAGCATGATTTATGAATCTATTAAAGCTCATCATACAGAGTTGTGGTCGATTTAGCGACTGAATGTGCTTCTAATAAACTTGCAGCTCTTTAAGCGGCTTATACCCACTGAGTGTGTTTTGTGGATTTTTTGAAGGTCAAGAGCTGCGTTCTTTACACACAGATCGCTAGCGGAAACTGACTTCTAACTGCCTTCAGGAGAGATAACAGCACTCTCTCATTACATACTCTTAGCCTTCAGCTTGCTTTCAGTTTTATCACCAACACACAAACGTTGAGACACTGAGCATCACTAGGAGCAGAAGACAAAATGGTTTATCATGTAGTGGTATATTATTTTTCTTTGATTCATGAGTCTCTTACTTTCTTTAATATCTTGGCTAAAGCTCAGGGCTGACAGGAAGGGAATCCATCTCCATTAGTCCTTTGCTGGGTAATGCAGACCTCTGTCTGTGTCATTATGGCCAATTAGTTGTCCAGCAGCTACTAATATATATTAACTCTAAGACTATTTGCTAGAAGAATACTACTTGAATGCATCCAGCAGTTGATTCAAACATATCAGATTCTCATTTTTCAGGGCAGACAACCTCAAACACATAGGCATCCCATTGGAGTAATTTTCTTCTCTAAATAACATGGAGCAGCATTTTATCTGAAGCAAACATAGTTTGCGTACATCCTGCTGCGGTTCTAATTTATCTCTGTTAACTTTTCTGCCTGTACTGCTGATCCTCCAATTATATACAGAGTCTGCTGATAAAAGCATTGGAGCTCTTCTGTATTCAGCTTTATTCAGTTTTGCCTGTTCCTCACTGGGAAGATGAATGACCACTTGGGTTGTTGTCTTCTGACATAAGCAAAACCATGATTGTATGTTCATATTACATTAGCTATGTTTCGATCCAAAGATGCGAATTTAACTTGTGCGCAAAACTGAAATATCGCATAAAATATTTGCGAATAAAGTTTCCATCCAACGAGTCAAGGAGAACAAAATCGTCACTTTCTGATAAACTGGCACTAAATATCTCTAAGAAAACTAGGAGAATCCACTGAATATAATAATTTTCATATGTAATAAATTCAGGGTCGGCCCTAGAATATTAAAATTACAAACACACAATAACATTTTAAGTTACTTCCATTTCTGAAAAAAATAATGTAGGCCTAGTAATTGATGTTATTAATATACAAGCCTGATTTTTGTTTTAATTATCCATCGTACATCCAAAAAAAAAACACACACAAACCTTTGCAATCAAGACTGAAAAAACAACAACGTTGAAGGCAGAAGTAAATGTAAACCAGATTTGGCCCAGACTCTGTTGCTATCTGGGAAGTCAAGCATAAGAATAGCCTACTAATGTAAATTTGTTAACCCACAGTAACAAATTTGAACCGATTAATCACATTTTCGTTTGCTGCATGCTTTTAAAAACACACTAAAAATAAATGTTTTATTTATTTGTTTTTTTTTGAGGAAAATAAAAAAAAAAGAAGTCTTGTTTCTCATATAAGTCGCATTTTCAGAAATAATAATGGCAGGCCTAATAATGTTATGTACCAACATTATGAACACTATAGGATATTTTAGTTCCCCTCACTTTACAACAAATCCTTTAAATTTAACCGTAACAGAACAAGAATGAATAAATATATAATTCTAATGGATAAATATAATTGCAGTATATAATAATATGCCGAACGGCACGGTGAACGGCTGCGCTGTTTCCAATGAATGCAGGAGCATATATAGTGTGCGCGTGAGGCCCGGCACGATCAAACAGCTGAAACATAAAATAGACTACTCTGTCAATTTTGGTCATACAGTAAATGCATAATTCGAGAAAATTCAAGAATAATAGCAAAGTTAATAAGAATTCTTTCTAAATGCAGTGCCGTTCTTATTTCGCTCTATTTTCGTTTGCTGCATGCTTTTAAAAACACACTAAAAATAAATGTTTTATTTATTTGTTTTTTTTTGAGGAAAATAAAAAAAAAAGAAGTCTTGTTTCTCATATAAGTCGCATTTTCAGAAATAATAATGGCAGGCCTAATAATGTTATGTACCAACATTATGAACACTATAGGATATTTTAGTTCCCCTCACTTTACAACAAATCCTTTAAATTTAACCGTAACAGAACAAGAATGAATAAATATATAATTCTAATGGATAAATATAATTGCAGTATATAATAATATAGGCTTAGCAATAAACAGGCCAAAACAAATTAATTTAAAACTAAACGTAAGGTAAAGTTGGGCTTAGCTCTCTAGGCACAAATCCGAATGTGTCCATATTCGCGGTGTAGCCTATTTGAAGCTAAACTCTTAGCCTATTTAGTATGTAAAATAGGCTTTGTAGTTCACGCGCATTCCGGTATCGACGGAAAAATATCATAATGAGCAAAAATATGCCACAGTGGACCGTTGCTCGTTTAACAGCCTGGGAGACCTTCCCAGTGCAGTACCCTGCCTCACAGACTAAAATCAAGGCACCCACTACGGAGACGGCACCAGAGGTGAGGGGGCACAGTGACTGAGGTGGTCGGGCCGGGCCAGGCCCCCCGTGGCGCCGATGCTGAACTTGACTTGACTTATCGGATGAAAAGTTTATCCTGCTCAGTTGTGTGCATACGTTTTTTTATGTGCATTTTTAGAAATTATGCGCATCTTGGCATTTCCATCCAGCGTTTTTTTATGCGATAATCCAAAATGCGCATAAAAATAGGTGGATGGAAATATAGCTATTGACAAACACAGATATTTTGCTTTCAAATGTGTTGATTGAGCTTATGGTGGGATATCAGAGATTTCTTTTATTTAAAAGTGGTTTTTATCTGTTTCAGTACACCCGGGTTTGGATCCCTGACCCAGAAGAGGTTTGGAAGTCAGCTGAAATCATCAAGGATTATAAGGAGGGAGACAAAGTGCTTCATCTCAAATTAGAAGATGAATCGGTAAGCAAAAACCCTCCCCTTTATCTTTCACCAACAAATCTTGCATGTACTTTAATGACTTGTTTTATTGGTAAATAAACAAAAAATGTCGGCGGGAAAAAAAAGAATATTAGGAGCAAAATTGTTTGTCATTGTGGAAAATTACAATCATCAAACAATAAATATTGAAATGGTTTATGTTTATTGCAGTCTTTTAGATCTGCTTTTTTTATTTTAATTTATTAATTTTCATATTAAAATCAAAAGTCTGGGTCTAGGACAACAAATAAAAACAACAACAAAAAAGAAAATCTGTACAAAAAAGCATTTGAAAAGTAGCAAAAAATATAAAAATAAAAAAGTTGCCCCTAGTTGACAAAATTGGCAGAGGAAGAAAAAAAAAAGCTCTGATTTTTTTTTTCTCAGACTACAAAACAAAAAATCTCAGTCATGACACAGCAATTGTGAACTAAACCAGATCCTAACGCTTCCTGCATTAGTTTGGGTTTCACCGTACTGAGGAAAGTGTGTCTTATGAATCATTAATCATGTTTTGGTGTGTAAGAAGCGCAGGCCCTGAGAGGGAAGGTTGTACGCCATATTCTCGAGTGTATTATCAAAAAACAATGTTGGGGAAACCTAAATAAACCAGTAGATGAAATAAAGATCAGCATAACTTATTGAAGCTCTTGTGCCTGTAATGCATTACCAACACTCTCAGTCTGCCAAAACACACTTTTTGACTCTTGAAGCCCATGGAGTTACTTGACATTGTGGTTTGAATCCAATCAATTTCTAATCTACCGTTTCTACTTAATGGCATTACTGTCTCTATTCCTAGACGTTAGAATATTCAATTGGTCCCAAAGACAATGCACTTCCATTTCTTCGGAATCCTGATATTCTGGTGGGAGAGAATGACCTCACGGCTCTCAGCTACCTCCACGAGCCTGCTGTGCTCCACAACCTCAAGGTCCGCTTCCTCGAGTCCAATCACATTTACACCTACTGCGGTAAGTCAGTGTGTGTGTGTTTTAAAGAGAATGGCTCTGATATATTGGTCATTTTATATTTATTTGTGTTTATATTTGTCCTATTATGATCATAACTTGATAACTATGTTTACATGGCTGGTTATTGGAAGTGTGCTTCATTTGTGGTAGCTCTAAAATCCAAACGTGAGATATGTCTCATTTTCTATCAAGGCTAGTTTGTTTAGGATATATTATGTCATGCACAATGGTAAATTCATAGTGCTTTAGTAAAGCATGCAAAAGAAAAAAGAAAACAAAGACAGTCAATTTTTATATAATTTAACAAATAAATGTTTAATTAAATGTAACAAAAACTTTAATATATATCTGCATAAAAATGAACAAGGAAAGAATAAGAAAAAATGTCGCATCATATGACCCCTTTAAACAAACAAAAAGGAAAGAAAACCGTAATTAAAGAGAAATATAATAGTTGTATATATCATAATTGTTGTAAATAATATCATAATTGTTGTATTGGCCATTAGCTGTGCCTTCTCTAGGTATCACCATCCATCATTTTAAAAGTATTATTTAGATCATTTAGTTACTATGATAATAAAATATTCATTGACTTCCAATGACATGTTTAAATCTCCTGGATTTGTTGTTCTATCCTCCCAAATTTTTTAATGATGAATATCTGACTCTACATAGTTTTACCTCAATTTGGAATGTGGTGAATATCCTAGTTTCATTGTAGTTTCACTCTTCATTGTAGTTACTATCTTGTGAGACAGAGTTTGGTTTCTTGAATGGGGTTCTCCGGGCTTCTTTCAAATACTTCTCACCAACTGTAAATATGGTAATTGCGTATCCAGGGTCAACAGGCTTTATTAGAGAGGAACAAAGACAGCAACGCTTTAGTCAACACTCATTACATTCAGGGTTTCTAGTAGTTACTGTCCCTATGACAGCATGCCCTTGTTAATCGGTTGTTGCATTTTGGGTTTACTTTTTATCTGTGGGTTTGTTTACTTCTACTGAAAAGTTCTTCTGAAAAAAAAAGACATATATTATGTAATGTATGTTTGAAACCTAACACTGGCTGATGTGACATCTCAGGCAATCGAAAAGAGTGTAGGCTATCTGCTGTTTTATATACACCTAGGCCATGGTCATACGGTCTCACAGATAGTTCATTTCTAAAGACCGCCCAGCTTTTGTTTGTCTTGTTTTATTGTTGGTTCCGTCTGTTGTGTTTTGTAATGACTGAATGATTCCCATTATTGTCTCTGTCAGGTCACAACAATGCCTATTGCCATATGATTCCTCTTTTATGTTTGTTCCTTTTTACTTTCTCGGATGTCTGTCTGTTTTGTGTTCGCTCTTTGAGGATGACCCATCATGCATTAAACTCATTTTATTATATAAAATTTATTTTAGTAATATATGATATTTTAGCTGAGATTTATGAGCAAATATTTAATTAACTTGTTTATTTTATTAGTATCATCAAGATTTTGTCTGATTTAATTTATGTAAAACTGTGTATCACCAGTGCAGCACAGTTGTAGGTATAAAGCTATATCAATCTCTCTTTTTAGGAATCGTTCTGGTGGCCATCAACCCATACGAGCAGCTGCAGATCTATGGAGAAGAAGTCATCAATGCATACACCGGCCAGAACATGGGGGACATGGACCCTCATATATTTGCTGTGGCAGAGGAAGCGTACAAACAGATGGCCAGGTTTGTACTCATTTTTTTAATAGTCCTAAAAAAGTTCTTGGTGCTTCAAACACACACCTTCTTTCAAAACCACTCCCTCAAAACACAAGTCAACAAACCTAAAAACACGCAGTGCATTTCTGATTGGATAATTAAATGGAGGAATTTTTTTGTTTTGTTTTTTGTTAAAGGCAGTTAATGCTTTTATTCAGCAGGGATGCATTAAATGTATTAAAAGAGACAGTAAAGATATTTATACTGTTACAAAAGGTTTTAGTTTCTCTTTTGATCTTCGAGAACTCTTTTTGGTAAAAGCCATTCCGAATTCTTGGAACAAGCATTTCTCAAGAAAAGTTTAAGAGGTTATTAGCATCAAGCAAAGCCTCGTTCAGACTGTCAGCCCAAATCCGATTTTTGTGCAAATCCAATTTAAATCCGATCATATTTAGATAGTCTGAACGGCAACAAACTACATGAAATCCGATTTGTGCAAATCCGTTTCGAGCTACATTCGTATGTGGTTTGGAATCCTATTCAAATTGCATTTCTGGAAATCCGTTTCAGTCTGACCGCTCAGATCGGATTTAGCGTAGCTTTTTCACGTCCTCACGCCACCTAAAACGTAAACACGTCGTTTTTGTAGAAAACATGCTGAACGTCTTTGCAGAAACAAGCTTGTGTCTTTGTGAAGTGCAAGTCAAGAGAAAAAACACAATATACTGCTAGTATACGCACCTCTTTGAGTTTTGAAAGTAGCGGAGACGGCAGCACGGAATAAAGCCGCACATTCCATCTTCCTGCGTTTATGATGCTGCCTCACAAGACGAAATATAATACAGCGCAACCTGTATACAATCTGTATTGCAAACTGTATTGCTGTTATTGTTGTTTTTAGCGTAGGCATAACAACGCAACGGCATTGCCATAGAAACCAGTTCACATTCCGTAAAACGAAGGAGCACGTATGGACACACAAATCTGATATGAACCGTTGCCATACACTGTGTGGACAGTCAGTTATTCAAATCACATTCCATCCGGATATGCACAAAATCGGATTTGGGCTGACAGTGTGAACGAGGCTCAAATGTCGAAGCTGTTTGTTAAGCTTAGTTGTTTTCTAATAAAGAGCTCAGGCTTCAGATCAGTGACTTCCACTGGTTGTAAAAAGGAAATGACATCACATGCTTTGAAAGCTGTGAGAAATCTGAAAGTTCAGCTTGACTCAATAATGGATAGAGTGGGCAGATAATCACAGTGCACGCAACATCATTCTTCGAACCTTTGTATTTACATGTGGGGTTTTTTGTTGCTTGAAACAAAAACAAAGCCATTTGCACATCAGGTTTAAGCTGGAGCTAAACATCCCACGCCGAGACATCATGACTTACTAATGACTTGTGTAATGCTGAAGCCCTAAAATAAGCTCAGACAAAGGAGGGAAAGACAAGGCAAGGCTTGTGGTCAGACTTGTGTTGACATTTGATAGGTTTTACACATGCCAGTTTCACTGAATGGACACGTCAATTATTTAAGAGTGTCAAAATGGCTCTCCGCTGTGTTTAGGTTTCCCTGAGGTAGCTCTCCTGGGACGTGTGTGTGTCTAGTGCATATAGATCAACCAGCAGCATCCGGTGTGGTTTAGATTGGAGGATTTTAACTGCATTTGTCAACTGCAATGAGGCTAGTCTCCCACAAGGAAAAAGCCCATTTTAATGTTTATTTTCTCTTTCCCACACTGTTTTTTGATGTGCACTGCAAAAAGTACCTGGTCCATGTACATATAGGCCTAACATTTGATCATTTAAAATAAATATAAATGTCATTAATTTTAATGTATATTTGGTGCCACTTTATATCAGTTGGCCATAACTACTATGTACTTACATTTAAATGAATAATTGAATACAATGCACTTATTGTGTACATACATGTTTTTACATTGTACTTATATTAAAAAAAAAAACCTGAATGTTATTACATCTGTAATTAATTTCTGTAATTACATTTATAATTACTCTGTTGACCCATCCCTTACACCCTAACCCACCCTGTCCCTAAACTTAACTGCATCCCACCTCAATAGCAGCAACTACATTTTCATAGTATTACTATTAGTTAGATGGCAGATATATTAACCTATGTGGTTTTTATTAGCCTATTTGATTTGTAGAATATAGATCACGATTCTGAAAACAAAACATTAGACAACCAAGCAAAATAATATGTAGGCTAATTTATTTGACTGTCTGACAAAATGTTTTATTTAATGTTATAAATTAGTCTATTTAAAAAATATTTAGGCCTATTATTTTAAATGAATTAATTTTAAAAAATCATTTGAAATAAATGAGTGAAGACTTGTTTCATCCAGAGTTTTTGACCAAATCTCTTGATTGAATGATTCAGAAGTCAAATAAATTAACAGTCACTGGTCCCAACCAGCTGGCATAATGCAACATTATACAATCTATATTTGAAGTGTAACATTAGTTCCAAACATTTTTACTCAGTCTATATCAGAGTCTATGAACTTTTATCCTAATACTTTCGTTATTATTTAATGTTTGCAGCACAGAATTGTAGCCTGCTGTGTAGACTGTTTGTGAAGCTGTTTCAAACATAAAGTTTAGGCTACATGATGAGCGCTGCTCTCTCTGGATCAACAGCTGTGCGAAAGCAGGTTTAAATATTCCGATCCGATGTGACTGTCATTTCAAAGGTTATAGCGGAATCGTCATTTAGGAATAAGATTGCACGTGTTTTGATATGAGCCTATAGCTTATGTATTTTTGTAGCCTATGTCATATTTGTACCAGACCTCAAAAGTAACCCGGGCCCATGCCCGGACTGTCCCCCAGCTTCCGCGACCCATGAGTACTAGGGGTGCAACGGTTCTCGGTAAAAAATCGAACCGTACGGTTCTTGACACACGGTTCGGCATGCACTAGGACTGCAGTTCAACTTTAATCTGACAATGCATCTGTAATATGGTTTGTTAGAGTTCGGCTAATGCATGTTTCTGTTGATGGATACAAATTCTGGCTTCCCAATACATTTCAACAAGGAATGAGAGGAAAAAAACAATACGTGGACAAACCAGTCACTCTTTATTCAATGCGAGTGCTTTATGCTGGAATAACTGTCATTTATGTCATCAAGTGTTGATAGCGCAGGTGAGACCTGAACAGCACACGTTGCTATCCGTGTTTAAACTAAACTCATTTAAGCCTTGCCAGTTTAAATATTAAAGAGCCAGAAGACGCGAACTCGCGCGCACAGTGAGAAGATCTGTGTGTGTGCTCATCCGAAGCGCGTGAACCCGCGTCTCAGAACGCGCGCAAATATTAAGCTCTCTTTGAAGTATTGTGCTTGAATGGACAAATTCACACAAAAATTATGTCAAAATGCCCATCTTGGTGAGTATCCTAGCAGACATAGTCGGCTGAACAAACTGTGCACAGGATCAGTGCGTTCCCTTAAAGTGACAGCACATTCTTAAAGTTAATTAAACAGCAACAACACGGAAATCACTCACTGCTCTTGATTGAATAACTTTTGTAACTTTAATAAGGATTCATTTTTAATTTATACAGTCCAATATGCAATGTAGTTTTACATTTGATTACTTTATTCAATTTCTGTACCTAAAAACTGTTCTAAAAACTGACCTACCTAAAAAACCTGAAAAGCACTGTTTATTTTATTTGTATCTTAGCTCTATTGCATTTATTTGTGCTGTTGCTTGTAGTTAGATTATTTGTTCTTATTTTCTTTATTTTTATTTGACAATATAGTTTTTTCCCTAAACATAGCACATACCGAACCGTATGAAACCGTGACTCTAAAACCGTGATACAAACCGAACCGTGAGTAAGTTGAACCATTGCACCCCTAATGAGTACATTGTACTTATTTTTGAATGTAAGTACATAGTAGTTAATGCCACCCTAATATAAAGTGGGACCACATCATTTTTAATCAAATTACTAAACTAACTACCAATTCCATTTATTCAAATTATGTTGCTGTGTCCATTTTTAATAAATTCATTTTCTATTAAATATTCTGATTATCCTGAATTAATTGAATATCACATTTTCCAGGGAATTTTGACCCTTATGTTTCATATACCTCTTATTAGTTGTATGTGCTTTATATCAACAATGGATTTACAATATCATCTCAGTTATTCATAGGGACGCTGTTTTCATCACTGTTTAAACCTGAATGTTCTTCTGCAGAGATGAAAAGAACCAGTCGATAATTGTGAGTGGCGAGTCTGGAGCCGGTAAAACAGTTTCTGCAAAGTACGCCATGCGCTTCTTCGCCACAGTGGGAGGTTCAGCGAATGACACCAACGTCGAAGAGAAAGTACTGGCCTCCAGCCCCATCATGGAGGTATGCTATGAACTAATTCTTGTGAGAAAATGCGATCTAGGTCACCACATGATGTTAATCAGTTGAGAACCACTTGATTGGCTTGCGTCACAGACACATTACCAGAATAATTTGTGTTCAATTTAATAAACTTTTGCCACCAAGTACTTCCATCGTGTGCAGCAGCTGTAAAGGTGCCCTCACTTCACTCATCACTCCATCTCATTGACACATTTGAGCTGCGAAATTAAACTCAAGAATCAGCAGGCCTGTTTGAACAGATAAGAGCAAAGCAGGCACTTGTGCCCTTCAGGAAGATAATCTGAGTGCCAACGAGAGTGGCCAAATCTCATAGTCAATTTAGAGATATCATTACTGTGGAAATGAGCATTTGTGATAGAAGGGCCTCTTAGGATGCGAACCTAGACATAGACCATCCTTATACTACAGGTGACTCATAACACCCCAGCTCAGACAAACAAATAATCCAAAATCAAGGTAATTACTCATTCTAAATGATGCCGCAAACAGGATTTTAGGTTTACGCCTCTATCATGTTGCACCCTCTGTTGTGAAATTCTTTCTCCACCCTTCTTATGTTCCATTATGCATCAATCATAGTAATTTGATAACCTCCTTTTTCAGATTAAACCAACCAAAGAGTGACTCAAGCATTAACATTTACTTTTTTTCCTTCTGTGCAGGCTATTGGAAATGCAAAAACCACCCGCAATGACAACAGCAGCCGCTTCGGGAAATATATCCAGATCGGCTTCGATAGGAGATATCACATCATCGGTGCCAACATGCGAACGTATCTGCTTGAGAAGTCCAGAGTAGTATTTCAGGTTTGTCTCATGTAGGAATGGTGCTTTAAGATTAATTTGCAGCCCCTTGTGCTTTTCCAAGTGTTGAACATCAATATATTTTTGCAGGCTGAGGAAGAGAGGAACTATCACATCTTCTACCAGCTCTGTGCTTCATCCTCTCTGCCAGAGTTTAAAGATCTAACCTTGAGTAAGTGGTCCAGTTAACTCAGTGACTAGTTTGGTTACTTGTAACTGTATTTTTGAAATCCAAGTGTTTTTATTTGCCATTGACTAGGGCTGGGCCGTAAGACGATACATACTGTTTGATGGCAGAAATAGGTGTTATAATATGGTCCTCATGGCACAAGATGATAAAAAAATGTGAGACATGATGCAGCTCATCTGTCAAATGAGGCTACCTTTACACTGGTGTGTTTTCGTTTTAAAACGCATAACTTTTGCTATGATTACGCCTGTCGTTTACACTACTCCGGCGTTTTCGAGGGTTGAAAACAAGACTTTTGAAAATGCTGCAGACCCCATTTTAGTTTGAAAACTTACACTGGTTGCGTTTCAGTGTAAACAGACCAAAACGGAGACTTTTGAAAATGATGGCGTGGCTGCCCACATTCGCTCTGCGTATCCTTGATGACTGTGTAAACAATAACATCATGCTCATTGTTGTACCCATAGATATGTATAGGTAGATTCCCCATTCGACCGCTCCAAGCACGTAGATGCGTCCGCCATCTAAATAATAGGGAAATACATATCTATGGTTGTACCTGCATGAATGGTCAATGCCATTTTAAAACGAAAACGCACTAGTGTAAACAGGGCCTTAATATAATGTCTTAAAGTATCTTCATTTGTTTTGGTTTTTTTTTTCTTATTAAATATTCATATACACATTTTATTCAATTAAAATGTAATAAAATTGTATTTGGAAATATTATTGGAGGGGTGAGGTGTCCAAATCGCAACATTTAGTTACTGGGGTGCCTCAGGGCTCAGTTCTTGGACAACTTCTCTTCTCTGTCTACATGGCATCACTAGTTTCTGTCATTCAGAAACATTGCTTTTCATATCACTGCTATGCTGATGACACTCAACTCTCTCTTTCCATCCTGATGATTTGACGATAGCTGCTCACATCTCAGCATATATATATATTAGGGGTGTAACGGTACACGTATTCGTACCGAACCGTTTCGGTACGGGTCTTTCGGTTCGGTACGCATGTGTACCGCACGAATACAGTTTTGTTTTTTTGTTTTTTTCTTCTTCTTCTCAGGAAATTCAAATAATAAATGGCGTTTTGACCGTCTTTTATGTGGCATGACAGATCGCTGTATAAACGCCTTAGAGAGCCGCTTCTGGGACGGTTCAGAAACGTGCTGGTATAATCCCAACACAAGCACTGACTAGAGCGGCCGCGATCAGCTCCGGTTCCCGTGTCTGAGCCGTGACGCCCCGCAGATTTGTGCAGAGCGGAGCGCGAGTGAACGCGATCATTCCTTCCTCTGTACTACTAGTTTTAACGCGAATAAACATGACTGAACATCTCATGCCTCAGCATCTAGTTACTGGGGTGCCTCAGGGCTCAGTTCTTGGACAACTTCTCTTCTCTGTCTACATGGCATCACTAGTTTCTGTCATTCAGAAACATTGCTTTTTATATCACTGCTATGCTGATGACACTCAACTCTCTCTTTCCATCCTGATGATTTGACGATAGCTGCTCACATCTCAGAAATTTACGGACTGCAGCTTTAAGATATAATTTATTCCTGTGACAGCAGAATTTTTGCCATCCATTACTCCAGTCGTCAGTGTCATATGATCCTTCAGAAATCATTCTAATATGCTGATTTGGTGCTCAAAAACATTTAGTATTATTATCAGTGTTGAAAACAGTTGCTTACTATTTTAGTGGAAACAGTAAACGTTTTTCAGGATATATTGATGAATAGTAAGTTCAATAGAACAGCATTTATTTGATATAGAAATCTTTTGTAACAATGTAAATGTCTTTAATGTCACTTTTGATTAATGCATCCTGTTGAATACATTAAAAAAGCACTTACTGACCCCAAACTTTTGAATTCCAGCGTACATGATTTTGATCATAATGCTGCCACTGACAGTCTTTAAGTCTTACTCATTCAAATTGTCTATTCACCCTCATGTTTTAGCCAGCGCAGAGGACTTTACCTACACGTCTCTCGGTGAGAACATTTTCATTGAAGGGGTGAACGACGCTGAGGACCTTGTGAAGACAAGAGAGGCTCTTACAATGCTTGGTAAAAACTTCAGCAATAAATATGACTATAACCAAGGTTTTGCAACAAGCCATACTGAGTGTCAAACATAAATATTACAACACTGTGTGTTGTGCAGGTGTGAAAGAGATCCATCAAATGAGCATCTTTAAAGTAATTGCCTCCATCTTGCACCTGGGGAACGTGGGGATTGTGTCAGAGAGAGATGGAGAATCCTGCCATATCAACGTAAGTGTACAACAAATATTGTGTCTTGGTGCATGTTATTTATTTTAGCACATTAGCGTTAAACTGCTGACTATCCTTCACTAAACAATTACAATCTCTTTTTGCACCTGCAGAGGGATGGCACACATTTACATCATTTCTGTCGGCTGCTGGGTATAGAGCAGGAGCAGATGGAGCACTGGCTGTGCCGCAGGAAGCTGGTGACCACTGCCGAGACCTATGTGAAGAACATGTCGCATGCCCAGGCGGTCAACGCCCGAGACGCCCTGGCCAAACACATTTACGCCCATCTCTTTGACTGGATCGTGGAGCACATCAATAAGGCCTTGCACACGTCCACCAAACAGCACTCCTTCATTGGGGTGCTGGATATCTATGGGTAATGCTTGTGATAATGAGAGGGCATGCAAGTACAGCTTTAGAAACGTAGCTCTTCGGGTTCTTATATACAGTAGAGTAGTATGTCTTGTGTTTTGACCTTCCCTTAGCAGAAACTGCATTGAGTTTTTAGAGTCAGCATTTGCCTGTAAGCCTTTCTGACCATGGGACTAATTACTTCCTCAAAGAGGGGAACTTATTGATCAGCATTAGAGTAAATAAGCAGAGAAGTGCCAAGCTATCGGATGCAGAGAGAAGTGTGGAAGGTGTTGAGTTTGTTTTCAGGGAAATCGGATTGATTTTGTTAACATGTCTTCACCTCCCAACAGATTTGAAACCTTCGAGATCAACAGCTTTGAGCAGTTCTGTATTAACTACGCCAATGAGAAACTACAGCAACAGTTCAACTCGGTCAGTAATAGATTATCAATAGATCCATATGGTTAGTGTCTTTTGGGCCACTCGTGCTATGCAGTATTTAGATATATATATATACTATCTTAAATGTCTTAATATATTGGATAAAATATAGTTGTATAGGCTAAATAATGTATATTCTCAATTTAGTTATAAATATTTTTAATTTAATATTTTACATATTATTAATAATAATATTTTTTAAATATATTGAACAATAATTTAAAGATTTTTCACAACAGAACTCTGAACAGGGCGTCTTAATTAGTTTCAATTTCACTGTCACTAATATGCAGTATTTAGACGTATACTATTTATAAGTATTTATTTATTAGATGAAGTGTTATAATAATGATTATAATTTTTTCTCACGTTTTAAAAGTGGAAATGATTTTTGTTTTATTTTAATAACTTTTATTATTAATAATAACTTGTATTTTTTAAATAATGAAACCATTTTTCATTATTTAAAAAAATGAATGAACAATTTTACTACTTTAGTTTGTTCTCGAGTGTTATGCACATCTACAATAAAAAAAAACCTGGACATTTCCTAAAGAATAATCCAGAATGAAACTAGTTTTCTCAGGAATATTGTTTTAATTGATAATCATTTTGTAGTGTTTTCTATATCACTTTCTAATCAGTTAGTTTTTTTCTTTTCAATGGCTTTCAGTATCACTTTCTATCCTATTAGTCTTTTATATTATTTATTTGAATAACAAAAGCCAGTTGCATAATTAATCATATTCCAGGACATTTTAGAATTTAGAATTGCAATTACATTTTAGAATTGCGTTTAGAAGTAAATAGATCATACGGTGTAGAAATACAAAAGCGTTCATTTTTAAAAAGTTAGAAAATGTACTGCATGACAGGAATGACCCGTGTGTTTGTGTCATGACTCTTGGCTGTATTTAGTTTCAAATTTAATGTATTTGATGCATTTACCTAATACATATACATCATATATTCCTTAGCATGTGTTTAAACTGGAGCAAGAAGAGTATATGAAGGAGCAGATCCCCTGGACGCTTATAGATTTCTATGATAACCAGCCGTGCATTGACCTCATTGAAGCCAAGCTTGGTATTCTGGACCTTCTTGATGAAGAGTGTAAGGTGAGTCACGAGCAGAGAGAAAACAGTTGTTGAGAATACGATAAAGAGAATTTGAGAGGCATGTTATCTAAACAGGTCTCTGAACAGAGCGTCTCATTTAGTTTTAAAGACCTCTGCCTCTTTGAAGTTTTTGAGTATGAATCAGAGCAGCTTCAAAAGTGTGATCATGCTATTTCTGCTACAGGTAACCCAAATAATGTTTTCAGTTTCCAGCAGTTCAAAGTATTTTTCTTTACTGCATCTGACAGGTGCCTAAAGGAACGGATCAAAACTGGGCGCAGAAGCTGTACAGCCAGCATTCAAACAGCGGGCATTTCGAAAAGCCCAGGATGTCCAACAGGTCTTTCATTGTGGTCCACTTTGCAGATAAGGTTTGTTCAGCTTATATTAAGCACACTATAGGGCTCAGGATGCTGCTGGGATATAATATCACCCAACCTATCATACTTAAAGGGATAGTTCACCCAAAAATAAAACATTCTGTCATTAATTATTCACCCACATGTCAGAAAGCTCTCGGATTTCATCAAAAATAAGTTAATTTGTGTTCCGAAGATGAACGAAGGTCCTGCGTGTTTGGGACGACACGAGGGTGAGGAATTAATGACAGAATTTTTATTTTTGGGTGAACTATCCCTTTAACTTCCTAAAACTCTTTTACAAACAAAGCAGGCTTTTCACACTTTAAGCTGTAAACCATTTTCATTTTTAAATCTGTAACAGATTTAGATTGAAAAAAATGACGTAAATACTTTTTGTGGAAATGAGCAAAATGTGTGTTGCGCAGATGGGCTCACTAAAACCCAATTTGTGTGAAATTGTGTTACACAACACAAATGTTTTGGTTAATAATGCATGATGAATGCAACAAAAATAGATGATTCTTCTTCATGCCAGTTTGGGGGGCACAAAAATGATGTAGCATGTTATTTTTAGTGTGGTACTGATGAATGCATCACACTTGTGACATTATGACAGGTTGAATATCAGTGTGACGGCTTCCTGGAGAAGAACAGAGACACTGTTTATGAGGAGCAGATAAACATCCTCAAGGCCAGTCAGGTGAGCACTGTATATTTTTGTTAAGAATAAAATGTTATGTTTTTTAAAAATGCATTTATTTTTTTTTTACCCTCTGTTTATTTAACTCAGCTCAGTTATGTTACTCTTCCCCATCCAGCCAAGCCTCTGTTTATGCTTCACGCTTCCTCATGTCTGCATGATGGAAATCACACTTTAGCTCATGTTTTGCTCTCTGGCCTGTTTAAGCAGTTAATTGACTTTCAGGCAAACAGAGGCCTGACATTGCCCACACCTAGCACTGTATCACTCGAACAGCCGGATCCATCTTAACCAAGATTAAATAGTATATCCATTGTCTTTGTCAATACTGATCTCTCTCGTAGTGTTTTGTCCTGAGGTTTCTTGGCAACAGAATTCATTTGTAGACAGCAGCACATCAGCGTCTACAAGCTAAAGGTCTTCTCTGCAGGACAGTGTCGAGTGAAACTTTCACTAGGACTCTTGTAATGAGGTGTCCCTGTGGAAGAAGTGCAGTTTAAACATAAGTTTGTCTCAAGTGATAACAGTTTTCAGCACTGCTGTCTGAAGTTTAAATATGTTTCCCAGCTATGTTCTCTTCAGGATATCTGCAGTGCTCTCATCATGCAGGGCTCTCATTGTGGTTTAAAAAGTCGTGTTTTTTTATCGATGAAATAGTGAAGGCTTAGCTCTTGCATATTAATTAGGTTGTACACAAATAATTTAACATGATCTTTTGCTGTTTTAATGAATAGTCTTTGTGATGTCTATGACTTCATTATTTAATCTACCACTGATCGGCACTTAAAAGATACTATTTCAAGTATGTATCTCCTTATTATTGAAATACTTTGTCCAAAAATGAAAATAGTGCAGAAAATTTAGCAATCGTCAGGCCATCAAAGATTACATCACTTGCTCGCCAATGGATCCTCTGCAGTGAATGGGTGCCGTCAGAATTTAAGTCTTGTGAAGTGAAAAGCTGTGTAAGAAAAAAAAAATCCACCATTAAGACGTTTTAACTTTAAACGTAATACTTACTCCATACTTCATAATAACACTTACTCCAGTGAGAAAAAAAAACATACCTATTGTCTTTTCAAATCAAAACATATTTGACAAATTTGTTTAAAGTAATGCTAAATTTCTCAGAATCTGTTCTGATTAAAAACCGAACATTTTGGATGAACTGAGGGTAAGTAAAAGTTTTCATTCTGGGGTGAACTATTCCTTTAAAAGTATACTATATTTGTGTTATTTTCTTACTGATTTAAAACAGCAAATGAAATCCTTTTCAGTCTAAAATTTTGGTCACACTTTATTTTAAAGTCCAATTCTCGCTATTAACGAACCTTAGCTACGACTTTTGCCTCAATTAACTCCTAATTTGCTGCTTATTAATAGTATGGTAGTTGTTAAGTTTAGGTATTGGGTAGGATAAGGGGTATAGAATATGGTCATGCAGAATATGTGCTTTATAAGTACTAAAAACCGCCAATATGTTAATAATAGGCATGCTAATAAGCAACTAGTAAATAGTGAGAATTGGTCCCTATTAGGGCTGCACGATAAATCGCATGCGATATTTAACGCGCATCTTAAGCAGCCCTAGTCCCTATACTAAAGTGTTACCGTAATTTTTAGTTTAACTTATAACAAATTATGTGAATTTAAAATTTAACTTAAATGTAATTTCCCAGTACTTTTTCCAACCCTGTTCAACTCGGGATAGCATTGCTGTCCACACCTTTAATTTGTATTTAGTCTCTGGTCCAGCATCTCTGTTTATCAGTGTCATCCTACTGTATCAGACTTACAGCGACAGCGGTTTAATGATGTCATCTGTATTCTGTCTTAGAGCCCTGAATCTTGGCAGGATCATGGTATTAGGGATGCATTGAAACACACTGTGTACCTGCCTTACAGTGGATGCTTAGGGAGTGGATTTTAAAGGGCTTCCAAATGTGCTTTGAAGTGCTGCTGCAATTGAATACAAATTTTACACTAGTCTAGCAAGAATAATAAAAAAATAAAAAAACGTATGCCCCTTATGTAAGATGTGATGCGTCTGTAATATCAATGGAAAGCTTTAAGCAGTCAAGATTTCTTCATGTGACACTTATATAATCAAATGTATTAATAGATCAACGTCCGGGCTGCCAAACCAGTTCCAAAAGGCCACAACCGAGAGCACAGGAAAACTGTGGGCACCCAGGTGAGACTTAGTGTCAGAGGCCAGTTTTAGATCCATATTGATGCTGGACAGTGGATCCACTGACGCTCTGTTTATTATTAAGATGAGGTGCATAACATAATGATAAAATGAAAACTTTTTCCTTTCCACAGTTCAGGAACTCGCTACATCTTCTGATGGAAACACTGAATGCTACCACCCCTCATTATGTGCGCTGCATTAAACCCAATGATTTTAAGGAATCCTTTGTGTAAGTTTGGTCTTTTTGTCTTCGTCTTATCCATCCATTAGTACTTATCTAGTTTATCTTGCATATAAATAGAGAGGTATACAGCAAATTCATTTAAGCTGCCAGAGAACATTAGAGTCATGCTGGTACAGAGACATTTGATCGACCTCAATTGCACTGCAAGTTTCCTCCAACAATCAGACATCAAAGCTCCTCTAAGAATGAGCCGATAAGGTTATATAAAATATAATTAAACCTAGTTTTCTCCCATGAAAATCAGTAGAAGTGGCCCCCATCTGCAAAGTACTTGCTGATTTAGCACTTTTGTTAATTATTTTTCCATGAAATGTTTGAGCTGAGTGAAAACCTGATGTAATATTGACTGGTCTGTTCCAAATACTGTAATAAAAGGAAATGTTTCTGTCTTATATAGTATTTGTCAGCTTTTTAATGTGTTACACCATATTCATCTTTAGTCTATCATATTAAATGTATTTATTTGCTTATTTGTTTTGTAAAGTTCACATTTCTAAGAAAGGATAGGGTCTTGTTTTGCTCTGTTTGTGTCCTCTGCAAATTCAGAGCACAAAAGCCCCTTCAAGGATGCTAAATTGAGAGGGTTTTGTCAGTCACATGCTCTTAAGGTTGTGAACACACAGTCACAGAGTTCTGAGTCAGATAGCCTCCAGTCCCTGAGCGGACTGCAGTCTCCCAATGCCTCTCTCACAGGAGATGTGCTCTATGCTCAAAAGAAAGATCTGGTAGGTCTCTAGATAACACCCCAAATCTCTTGTGGTGTGATATGCTCACTTTTTGTACCCAGATGTTCCTTGTTTAGAATCTTCTTACGTTGGTTTTCACAAAGATTCCTCACTTTTCGATTGCTCTCTTGCTCTTTGTAGGTTTGATTCTAGAAGAGCTGTTCAGCAACTGCGAGCATGTGGAGTTCTGGAGACCATCCGCATCAGTGCCGCCGGCTATCCATCCAGGTAACGGATCTACAGATTCCTTTAAAGGGCTTCAGGGCAGGGTAGACATGGGGCTCTTATGCTTTTCAAACAAGTAGTTCGTATACACATGCATGACCTCGTGTACTCTTACTAATCATTAGAAATTATATAACTATGGAAATCAAATCACAAATACGAGTTTATTTAAAATGTTTTTTCCTCATCACATCTGATGTCATTTCTTAGGTGGACCTATCCAGATTTCTTCAGCAGATATCGGGTGCTCATGACAAAGAAGGACATGACCATTGGGGATAAGAAGCAGGTCTGTAAGAACCTGCTGGAGACCTTGATAAAGGTAAGACTACCATGGCTAGAAATGACTCAAATGTAAGTTGTATGCATAGTGCTCACTCTCATCCTGGTATCGTGGTTATACAATGTTTGTCTGGACATTTACCACAGCAGTTTTGAAGTACCTTGTACTTTTATTTATTACCATGCTATTGCCATCTAAAACTATCCGTGTGCCATCTATTACCATGTTACTGTTTAAGAAAATTGATAAGCTCAAAACATATTCCTATCCTAGAAATTTAAATATTTTGTAAACATTTCTAACATATACTCTGATTGAAAGTTTGGGGTCTGTAAGTGTTTTTTTTATTTTAAGAAATGAATATGTATTAGGATGCATTAAATATATATTAGTGCTGTCAAAATTAGCGGGCGATTAATTTTTTTCAGTTTAACGCGTTAAAAATATTTAACGCCGTTAACGCAGGGGCAGGGCTACGGTTGGCCACCCCACTCACAACTGCTGTTTCTGTCTCTTTTTTCGTGACAAGAACCATCGTCTATTTAAACGCAGAACGTCTTTATGACCACATCAAACAGGAAACTTTTCAGACGTGTGCTCCAACTTCACTTCAGGGTCAGGCGCGAGTCAAACAAGGAAATGGTGCTGTGCTCGCAGAATGCTTTTCAGTTGCACGCACAAAGGCGTCGGTGCGCTCATCATTTCATATCAAAGTGCGAATGAAACAATATGCATGCAATGTCGTAGTTATGTCGTCAGTTAAGTCATGAAGTTACCAAAAAGGCAATTAAAGCTGCCTTG